CAGTCAGAGCAAAATTAACCGTTAGAGGGTCCTTAAAAAGACATCCACCTTTGATCTTAAGGACACAAAATGTCCCCAGGACCCTAAGCAACTAATCTCTGTCGTCAAAATCATAGCGAATGTAACTGACAGTGAATTGTTTTAATGTTCGTGTATTTGTTAGAAATATTTTTGTAATTTCCCTTCAATTGCGGGACTTTGTTTTGAAACTTGGTGGAGCGGAAATAATGCTCAGCACGGACTGTTTTTATAGTGACACAGGTGCGTTTAATGTGTCTCAGTAAATTTAGGTTTCCATGAAACCGTGATAAACAGGTATTTATGTTTATGCTTTTATTTGCTGGGTTTATTTTGATAACAGTTTTACTGCAAAATATGTCACATGATGGTTTAAGTTATTTAATTTCACATAATGTGTGAGACAAGCTAAAGTAGCATTACATTTTTATGTTTAAGATACGGTGATGTTTCTAAATGTAATTACCTTTATTTTAGTTCTCGCGATGACGACAATGAGCGATCCTGTTGGTTCACTTGAAATAAATCAATCTTGATTAAATAAATGTGATAAAAGGTTTTTTTTTTGTTTACAAAAAGTTAAATACTGGCTTTTAAATGAATGAAAATGAAAACCAGGTCAGATTTTTTTTATTATTATTGTAAAACATCTGCCTCCACACACTCTCTCTCTCTTCCCGCTATGTCGCTCCCTCTCCCTCCCTCTCCTGAAAGCCTCAGACGTGGCAAAGATTCACGTACTCCATATTTCACGAACTTTCTGTGGTTTGGCCCACCGAAAAACGAAGAAAAAAAGTTCCCATATGTCTGCCTCTTATTGGCTGGTGGATTTCCGACTATCTGTGCTGATTGGATACCAGCTCTGTCCGTCAAAGCTGTATCGCGCCATTTCTGTTCTCATTGGCTGGACAGCTTTTTGCGGTTTCTGTCGACTTTCTCTTAAAAGTCGGAAAAGGTGACGAGTATCGCGAGAGTCGAGTGCCGACTGAGCGGTGAACGTGAAGAGAGAGGGCCGGGGAGAGAGGAGAAAGAGTGGACTAAAGCTACGGCCTACAGTCTGAACGGAGCCGTTTCCAAACATCCAATATGTCCTCCAGTTTTCTTCTCCGCCTGCTGTCTCTCGCCTTTTTCCAGGGCGCCGTGTGGGCCGAACAGCGGAAGCTTTCTCCAGGTAAGACCGCTGTGCGGGGTCCCCTGGTCGGCCAGGCGGACCACCGTGACCCGCTGGAGCTGTGGAGCTCGGGGTGGGTTACGGAAAGGCTGCTCATCACGTCACAAACCTTTTCACTATTTCCAGAGTTTATTCCGTTATTAGCTGCTGGGTGAGTTTAGGAAGGACGTTTATTAACGATTAAAACCGTTAGCGCCACAGGACCGTTAGCAAACTTTAACAGGGGTTTGTGTTCATGTCAGAGCAAAATGTAAAATCACAAAAAGTCTCAATAATGACCCCAAATACTCACCAGAGGGGCTCACGGTGAACCTGCTCCCTTTATAACCGCATATATTCTTATTGTATCCCTACAGGTCATCCATGATTCCCTAAACTCTGGAAATCTTAATGCGCAACTTTGTTTCCGGGAGGTTTATTTCCATTTTTCCACGTATAATCTGCGGATACACAGCGTGGATAACATGTAGCAGTTTAAACACAAAGGTACAAAGTGCTTCACATATTGGATGAACTCCCAACATTAAAGAAAGTTAGACATCCCCACAAAGGTATGGATCTCCATCAGCTGGGGTTTGTGCCACTGATGGAAATGATCCCAGCTGAAGTCTGTCGCATGTGGTGTCTGATCCTTCCTTTGTGTACATGGACATGGTCGGTAGTAGGGCTGCCACAAACGATTATTTTGATAGTCGACTAATCAGATCATCATCCATTGAACGTACAGCTTATTGCAGCAGCAGCATCTGCTCTTATATAACTATCATTAGCTCACAGCTTCAAGTGTTTAAGGTATGTGCTAACTAAAAATAAAGACAAGATGAGAGTTTATAAAATTTTAATGAAATTTGCAGATTGTTTCGGTGAAGTTTAATAAACTCCTTGCTCTCTAAAATATAACAGGACACCGGAGTAAATTCTGAGCATCTCACACTTCTGATAATCAGCTGTCTGCTTGACGTTTATTCAGCTGTGTAAAAACTATAACTTCAGCCAAACCGATTTACTCAGGAACAAATAAAATACTGAAAAAAGCCAAACAATAACATTTTTAAGTTATCTAAGTGACTTATATATGTTTAACCTGAGTAGAGGAAAAAATGTCCAGATAGGCCTGCATGCTCTCATGTGTGAGGCTCTGAACGGTCCTGCTTGTTAACACTAGCACAGTGACATTATGCAAACATTATTTGGACAAACTTTAAATGTTCATGCTGATATAAACTTCCTGTGAAACGTTCCCTGCTGACCCCCCCACAATCAGCTGTAGTACCTTCATAGTATGAACTGCTTGTGTTTAAACTGTGCTGATACTGTGGAAATGTCCTGGACTTGTATAGCTAAGAGGGCTGTAAAACGAGTAAAAAGTGCCACATTTGGGCCAATATTTCTTTGTACTTTGAGAGCCTGTAACGCTGAAAACATTTGGGTAGAAAGAAAATCCCCAGTGCTCGATGTTTAAGTGTCCTACTTGTCCTAAAAACATTTGATCAAAGCTGAGAAAGAATTCAAAACGTGTTTATGATGCTTGGATCTGTAACATTCTCCACGGCTCCACATTACTGCCCACATCTCCAGCCTGGTCCCACTGATTCAAGTCAAGGAGCGGAAAAAGGAAGTCCTTACATTTTTTACATTTTCATCATGCATGTCAGGAACATATTTCCATGAGAGTCAAACACACAAACACCTTTGTAAGAAGGAGCGAAACATGAATTTGGCTCATATTTGGTTATGGAAATGATTCAGTGTAAACATGGAGGGAAGACCTGAGCAGAGGTCACTTTATGAATCGTTTGTCAGGACGTGACTCGGCTTCGCTGGCGCACGTCTGCTTCTGTCGTTCATTCGTTAGGAAAGCAGCGCGATGAGGAAAGAGACAACAAACCGCCACAGCTGTGCGAGTGCTGTCGGGGGTTGTTGTCCGACACTCGAGCCACAAACGGGAAGAAACCGTCCCACCATTCAGCCTCACATGAGGATTCACTCTTATTCCAGCTGCAGACTTCCACAGCTGGAACTTTCATTTATAGTTTCAGAGCTGATGTATTCAGTTTAAAGTTTGCAGAGGACGAATTTAGAAAAATAGAAAAAATAATTAATCCTGAATGAATTCTGGTAGCAGCTGGATTTTTGGGAGCTGGAGCTTCTCAGCAGCTGGGTGAGCCTGAGTTAACATCTGGACAGATACAATACAAAGATCTACAACGCCAAACACCCGCCATAAGATGGAGGCTGAAATCCTTACTTTTAGTTTGAGACCCAGAGTCGGCCCTGCAGGCAGCTGCAGAGACTTTCATTGGTTGTTGACAATGCCCTTTGACCCCTAGGAATCTATTCAATTCCATTCAGATTAATTTATATAGCACATAATGGCATAACAACCTGCAATAATACAGTGAAAACCTCAACAGTCAGACTGTGAGTGAGCACTTGGCGACAGTGGGAAGGAAAAACTCCCTTTTCAAAAATCTAGAAGTTCTAAAGAATAAAAACGATAGGGGTTAAAAACAGGAGGATTTCCTTCC